CCGGCCGCTTCTCCACGCTCGTCGGAGCGCTTCAGCAGCGAGCCCGCCGCTCCAGGCCTGGCGGGGAGACCTGCAATCAATCCCTCCCCACCTTCAAGGTCGCTGATTGTTCAATTGGATCCGCGTGAGGAGGGAGCTGAGCTCAGCGTCTCTCCTGCGGCAGCCCCCTCTTTTTTCCAGGGCTTTGCATAGTGAAGTGGTGACTAATTTTAAAGGAAGCCAGTGTAGCCAAAGGCGGCCAAACGCCGAGCATTTCTAGCCACGCGGCAGCGGGTGGCACTCGGCAGCCCTGGGAGAGGATCCAGCCCCTGCCCCGAGTTCATGGTCCAAGGCCCCCATCCTGTAACTGCTCCTGTGCCGGAGGAGCCCTTGGCTGGCACAGGCCCGTGGGCATCCGGGAAACTCTGCCCTGAGCTCTGGGACCTGCCTGCACAAGACCCCTCCTCCTGGGCAGGACACAGATACGGGCTCCGATCTCCATCCTTGTCCTCCCCCTGGAGCCACTAGGTGGTGCTCAAGTACACCCCATAGCCGACTGAGGGGCGGGGGAGGGAGGAATTGCACCCCCGCCCCCCAGCAGTCTGGGTCTCCGGGGAGCTGCGCAGTAATCAGGAGTCCACCCCGTTACTAACCTGGGTCAGCTCCCCTCCCCCGCAATCGGCCAGCTCAGCCGCCCATGAGCACGTGCGCTCTCGTTGCACGTGGCTACGGGGCAGGGATGCTCCTGCACCGCCTGGGGCCTGATTCCACACCCTGGCTTTGCACCCAGCGCGTGTGGGGCTGGGCCTCAGATCCCTGGGGAGACGCCCCCTGCCCAGAGCCCCTCCCTGCCAGCCAGCTGCCCTGAGCGCCAGCCTCACGGTTCGCTTTCTCCCCAGCCCTCTGAGATGCCCCCTTGTCTCGCCCCAACCGATCGCACTCCTCCCTGGGGCACAAGCCCTGCGGGATTAGCCTCGCCTCCCCGCTGCCGCTGTGGGAGCCGGCTACGCTTCCGAACGCTTCCTCTGGTTCTCCTGCCTGCCCGGCACCTCCCAGTGTGTGCCCAGGCCGAGAGACCCCCCTTGGGCACAGCCTGTCTCCCTGCCTAGCGCCCAGTGGGGGCTGGGGAGGGATGAACTGCCTGTCTGCCCACTCTCTGGGGAAATCAAACATGTTTCTATAGAGACCCTCGACTGGGGAAAGGCTGCACCCCTTTGGCCCCCACGGGGGCTGTCAGGGAGCCCCATGATGCTGGGGGACCGTCCGTGGGCTGGGGAGGCAGGGGGATCAACCCGACCTCCCTGCCTAGCGCCCAGTGGGGGCTGGGGAGGGATGAACTGCCTGTCTGCCCACTCTCTGGGGAAATCAAACATGTTTCTATAGAGACCCTCGACTGGGGAAAGGCTGCACCCCTTTGGCCCCCACGGGGGCTGTCAGGGAGCCCCATGATGCTGGGGGACCGTCCGTGGGCTGGGGAGGCAGGGGGATCAACCCGACAAGGCCTCGGAAAGGAGACCCTCCCGTGGGACTCACTGGGGGGAAGGGCCTTCCCTGTGGGGGTCACGGCCAGGGTTTTCCAGG